GTCATGTTAACATGGCTGCTGGCTCACGTCAAGCTCATAACACTCAAAGCCCATGATTCAGTCCTGAGTGAGTTCAACAGCCCATCCACCACTTCTCCATCTTCATCCCCCCATCTCCCATTCATCTCTCCTTCCTCCCTCCCTCCCTCCCTCCCTCCCTCTCTCTCTCTCTCTCTGTCCTCTTTTCCGCTCATCCTCCTCTTCTGTCCTACTCTCTCCACCTCCCACTCCTTTTTCATCCACTTTCACTTCTTCCTCTTTTCTTTCCGTCTCTCTGTTTCTGTCAGTCCGTCCTCTCTCCTCCTCCTCCTCCTCCTCCTCCTCACCAGACATCCAGTACCACTCACTTCTTCACAATCTGCACAACACAGGGTCCTCTTCTTCGTCTCCTTCGTCTTCCTCCTCCTCTTCTTCTCCTGTAGAAGCTCAACACAGTGGGGGTGAAGCTTCGTCCTCTCTCCTGCTGTGTTTTGAAGAGAGTGAAACTCTGGATGATATTTCTGAGTGTGAATGTGGGACGACTGAATCGATAGTGAGCGCTCATGTAAACGCCCCGGGCGGCGAAGTAAATGAGTCAAACAGCAAACTGTGTCAGAGCGGGCATCCATCACAAGTGCATTCTGGTCAATAAAAACACAAAATCAATGCAACTCTGTGCCGTGGTTACACACGAAGCTGAACTTTACTTTCACTTTTCAAGTTGTGTTATTTCCACTGTGGTGACAGGAAGCTGTGCCCCGCCCCCACCCTGCCACCATCCATGTGTGTTTGAGCAAGACGCCACCAGTGACACAGGGAATTTCCCCTTGTGGATCAATAAAGGAAGTTTAAGTCGTTGGTTTGTTTGTCAGCAGGATAAGACAGAAACTACTCAAAGGATTTCCTCAGAGTTTGAGTTTCTTCACATTGTGTGTTTTCATGGTCACAGATTTCTCCGAGAACGATGAATGGATGAAAACAGTCAGAGATGTTTGGAGGACTGATCCAGTTCTCTGAAGCGTGATGAGCTGAAGCTGTTTCTAACATCACCTGAGTGACACACTGAGCCGTCGCTCTGTCAGGTGAGAACATTCTGTGGGATTGATTGACAGCTCAACGCACTGCGGACAGTCGTGTTGAAACTGTCCAGGGTCACGTGTGACCTTCATCTCTGTCATGAAAAACTAAACACGCAGCCTTTGTTACCTCATGTTAACTTGTGACGTGCATGTTTCATGTCACTGCTCGGTGTTGTTACACACATGTTTACATGATCATGTGTTGTTGTGTGACTCTTCATATCTGGAGCAGTTGGTTTTTAAGTTTGAGTGGAAGCTGATGTCCCTGTTTTTGGACACGATGTGATCGTCTCCTGCTGAGGATCAGAACGAGTCGATTACAAAGACATGACTTGATTCACAGAAACGATTCACACTTCTGTCGTCTCCTCACTCGACTCCAAAATCACACTCACACATCGAACGTCTTATCTCATCTGATGAAATGATAACGAAGATTTTTCTACATCAAAGCGGTGACTCATCGTCTCCAGGAGGAAAACTCGTCTCTTCAAAGACGAGTGAGAATCTTCAGAATAAATCCATCCATTTCACTGCTGTCAGAGGAAAACGTGTCGTTATCTTCAAACTGTGAATTTAATCTGGGACTGAATCACAATAACCCCGAACAGATGCACGTGAAGAGTTTAGAGTTTCATTAAACATCAGAAGATAAAGAAACCAGTGATCTGAGCTTAAATTGCTGCTAAATAAGCATTTTTATTTATTAGCATATTAACTGTTGGACAAACAGCTTGTCCTCGTGGCTCCGGGTGAGTTTGGCTGACTCGTACGATTTTACTGCATTTGAAATGTTCGTCCTGCTGTCGGACTCTTTGATCTGACTCTTTGATCTGACTCTGTCCATTAGACTGTTTGATCTCAGTTCAGGTTCATTTCTGCTTCATCGTGACAGAACTGAATCGTCACCTGAAGTTTCTCAGAATGAAGCTGTTGTAGAGCAGATGAGATATTTTTAGGTTTTTTCAGAAACGCTGACACAGTTTATCTTTAGCGCTGTTGTTTGTCGTCAGATCTTATTTTTACTCGGAGCAGTGATGTTTATTTTAACTAGGTCACATGTTCTGTCAGTGTCATGACTCTATAAAACTGAGAGCTTTCAGGTTTTCTGTTGCATGGATACTGTTCATTTTGATTTTTCTTGTTTGGTTTTATTTTGAAATGTTGCTCCTTGACTTTATTTCCTACCTTACTGTTTCCGGCCCTTGTCGTCCTCACCTGTTTCTAATATGTCTCACCTGTTCACTCGTCCTCCCTCTGATTATAATTCTCTGTGCTTCTCTTTGTCTGCGTCAGGTCGTCTTGTCCTCTGCGTCCACGTCGGTGACGTGTCCTCGTGTTTCAGTTTTATTTTGTCTTTCTTTGCTGATCACCTGATGCTGCCTCAGTAAGATGATTTCTTTAGTCCTCAGAGACTCTGGCTGCACAGGTTGTGTCGTGAAGCTTTTACACATGACGTGAGGATAGAGACAGAAATTCTGATTTCTCAATGATTATATAAGCTTTAATATTCACCTCTGCACTGATGGAAACAGGAAGTGACACAGAAAAGACGTTTCATCGGCTGTTTTTATTGAATCATCTGAGCAAACAGCTCAGATACAACTGCACACAATGTAAAATATATTTACATTTCAAACCGGTGAAAGTCTTTTATGGGGACATCACGTCATCACAGGGTTAGGCTAACCCAACGCTTCTGTCATGATCTGCTCCAAACTTTGTTTGAATTTCATCTTTTCTTTGGTGAGTTGTGTTTGGACTCGTTCTGTGAGAGCAGTTTTGTGAAATGAAGTGAAAACATAACCTCGAGGGTGAATGTGATAAAAAGTCCAAACTGAAACTCCCAATGAATCCAACAGATTTCCGGTCACTTGAGTTTTTATCGGAGCAGATCATGACAAACGTGTTTGAGAGAAATCACACAGGAGCAGCTCTGTAGTTTCTCTGAACAACATCTGTTTGAACTACTTTACGTTCCTGTGTCCCCTTTAACTCATCATGTATGTACATCTCTGTCCAGAACGACACACATGTTGGTTAACAGCCTTTCAAAGCCGTTGACTCCGCCCCCTCCCAGTCAGTGCTGTATAATCCCCTCTGGGTCGACAGCTTAATTATAAAGTGATTAAATGCTCATGATTAGAACATCGTCAACAGGCCGAGCGGCCGCTGGCACAAAGTCACAGGTTCAAAACCCAGAGCAGCTTTTAGCAGCAGTGTAGGTTTAATTTAACCGGATCTCACAGAACCAGGTCTGTGTCTCAGAACCTCTGATCTGACATCAGGACCATCGTGACGTTAAATTACTTTAAAATCAACTCATCTGATTTTATGAGTCTGGGGAAAAAGTACGTACACTGAAACTGGTTGGAGATATATAATTTATAAGTTGTGTTAGTTATAATACAGGTTTTCTATGGTAACGGTCTCAGGGTGTGACGACCGGTGAGGAAGAGTCACAGAGCTCCAGGTGTTTCTTCTTCAGTTGCTCAGTCACACTTCGGTCTGAGGCTCAAACCACCGACAAACACAGCTGAACTCATTTCTACCTTTACATTTTGAACTCGTCTCCTCCGTCTCAGCCGCTCAGAGATGCAGCGATCGCTGCAGAGCATCACAAGTATTTTCTGAGAAAAGCTCAAACCAAACCATCACCAGTGAGAATATTTCAGACACTGTTCTCCTCTGGTCTCCCTGGAGGTGGATGTAGAGCATGTCCGACACTGTGTCCCTCACTGATTTTGGATCGTCTATTAGAAACTCTAGCTCATCTCCACTCGTAGCCGCTCTCGTTTATAGTGCAGCAGGAAATGGAGGCACCGAGCCCAGAACCTATTTCCATGGACAGATTCATGTTGATGAGGACAAACTGAGCAGCACAGACATTTCTAACACTGATGGATCAGTAAAAATCATCCACCCCACATCCTGGAGGTGTTGAAGACAACAACAACAACAACAACAACAACACGGTAAGAATGAAACCCTCGTCTCCTCTAATCGCTCTACACATGAATATTAACAAAGCTGCGTGAAACAGGCCTGAGAAGGTCCCAGCTGTCCAGTACTGAGCCTCCACAGGCTGTGAGCGCGTCCTCCTGGCGTCGCTCACGGTGCAGCTCCGACATTGAGCTAATTGTCATTTTAATAAGAATATAAAAGTGAACCTGTGCTTTTCAGCTGTGAAGCTCAGTGGGAGGAGCTTGTGACGACTCCGAGATGAACTCTGACATCAACAGCAGGGTGGGTTCCACACCTCAAAAGATTTATAATTAAAGATTAGTCAATTCAATAATGAATCCAGATAGAATTGATTGACAGTGACTTTAATAACTGATTCATTATTTAAAGGACCTATTTTCTTTATCAGCCACTGATGATTCAATGTGATGGTTTCAGTTTGAACAGTTCTTCTACTTCAGAGAAACGAAGCTGACTCAACAGATAAATAAAATAGTTTGGTTTGAAATGTTTGATCACATTAATATTCATCATTAGAGAGAAACACACAGTTTCAACGTTCAGTCATTTATCAATCAAAACAATCTGCTGCTCCATTGATTTCCTTCAGTCAGAGACGACAAATCAATGTTCAAAATATTCCTGGATCATTAACTGACTCACTCTGTGGAGTTCTGGAAGAACGAAGTGAGTTTGTGATAATCACAGATCCAGATGATTTAGCATCACTTTCAACGAGCTGTTAGTCGTCCATCTTTATTTATGATTTTGTAATGTACTGCCCTCTTGTGGCAGGGCCAGGTTATTGTCTCCTGAAGCTAATGCAACAAAGTAAATGAACAGTTCAGAGTCAATTGTGAAAATGTGATGAGCTCGTGTTCACAACACAACAGAACTCTTTTGTGAGACTTTGCACAAACTGTTAAAACTGAGACACGATCAACTTTTGATTCCCAGCAGACGTTCTGTGGATCTCTACGGTAACGCAGCAGTCGTGACCTGCGAAGAGGCGGGAGCAGGTTCGGCACATTCACCACTAACACAAGTGTTACGAACAAAAACAAGATAGAAAGTGACACCAGGTGGAACGTTTGTGTCATTTTTACATGTGAGGTGTGTTTTAATTGTAACTCGTCCACGTGTTACGAGGCAGTGAAAGAACGGTGTCACTGTGATCATCGTGGACACACGGTGAAAACATTTGGTGTTTTAGCCTTGTGGACAATCAAGCTCCAACAACTCCATCTTTTCCTGTCTTTTCGGGGGGGCAAGTTTTCCTTGGCTCACAGTGAAAATAGAAGATTAGAAAGAACAGAGTCAGTGTGTAGTTCCACCAACTTCTGCAACGACATCGTGCTAAAGGCCGTTGAGCAGGGCAGCACCCGGGTTTGAACGCACCACGGTGGCTGTGAGCAGCAGCCGCCTCCGTCCAGACAGCGTGAATTCATCTCCAGTGAGTCAAACTTTCCCTCGGTCGTCAGAATAAAGGTTTGCAGCCTTCCAGCCCACTGGTTTCTTCTGTGTGCATCCATTTGATCACAGCGTCCTGCCTCCTCTCACCTCAGACGCCACCGCACACATTCAGGGGAATTCCTGACAGCGAAGCCACAGTGGAGGTTTTCCCTGGAGGTCGTCTCTGGTGGCCTCTGCAGCATCGCTGACGGACAGACCCACGGCGTCACACGTCGGAGTCTGGTTTCTCCACCAGTTTCAAAGCCTCGTGCATTCCAACCGCCGACAGCTTCCTATTGATGTTCCTGTAGCGGCACCGCAGGAGGTTGCTGTAGGTGGTCCTCAGGTCACGGTTGAAAAAGGCGTAAATGAAGGGGTTAATGAGAGAGTTGGCGTAACCAAGCCACAACAGAGTCCTCTCCAGCCAGAGCGGCACACAGCTGCACTCCACGCCGCAGACAAATGGCCTGGCGGTGGACACCAAGAAGAACGGCAGCCAGCAGAAGGTAAAGGCACCGACCACGATGCCCAGAGTGGCAGCGGCCTTCTGCTCCCGTTTAAAGATGGACTGGTTTTTCCTTTTCCGACGTTGGTGGTGCTCGCCAGTCTTGAGGAGGCGGGATACACGCGTGCTACACTCCTCCTCCACCTCCCGCTGCAGCTTCAGCGCCGCTGACACGCAGTCCAAGCTCTCCTCCTCTTCCTCGGCCTCCTCCTGCTCAACCTCTGTCCCCTCCACGCTCAGCGTTTCCCCCGACTCCACCGGCTGTTGAACCTTGTGCCCCCCTCGCCCCCCTCTTGGAGCCAGCCCTGCACCGTGCCCCCCTTCCCTGGGAAACCCGGTGATGGTGTGTTTGGCTGCGCTGAGTTTGGCCGCTCTGTAAATCCTGTAGTACATGATCAGCATGACGGACATGGGGATGTAGAACGCCACAGCCGTGGAGTAGACGGTGTAGCCAAAGTCCTGACTGATGAGGCACACTCTGCCATCGTTGACGTTCTGCGCCCACCCGAACAGAGGGGGGAGGGTGATGGAGGCAGAGAGCAGCCACACAGACACGATCATCTTGGCCATACAGCAGCCGTTCTGCCGGACGGGATATGTCAGAGGTTTGGTGATTCCCAGATATCTACAGAGAGAAAGACCACTGAATGAAAGACTTCAACCCCGATGCCCTTGAGCAAGGTGCTGAAAATGTGTGAGCCATATTCAGAGCAGGTGTGAAGTGGGTGTTCAGAGAGATACACATGATGAACGACCCACAGAGTCACATCACGGGAATCAAACTCTATTCCACACATCACACATGTAGACGAGTGTGTTGAGGAAATGATTTCTTCACTTTAAACTCCTGAACTGATCAGATTCCAGGTTTGATTCACTTTACACAGAATCTGAGGACAAACAGCTCAGGACGATGAGCGGAAACTAAATGTTGAATAAATCACTGATAATAACACGTTTGATGTGTGATGACGTGTCCAGGTAGATAAACGTTGACCTCACCTGTCGATGCTGATCACACACAGGGTCATGATGGACGCGGTGCAGCACATCACGTCCATGGCGATGAAGACGTTACAGAAGAACTGACCGAAGACCCACTGACCCCCGATCAGGTCTGTGATGCTGACGAACGGCATCACGGCCAGAGCCACCGACAGGTCGGCCACGGCCAGAGACACGATCAGGTAGTTGGAGGGCTGCCGCAGCTTCTTGACGAAGCACACGGAGATGACCACCAGCAGGTTCCCGCAGATGGTGGACAGGGTGAGCATGGTGAGCACCCCGCCGATCAAGACCTTCTCCACGCGGCCGTAGCTCAGGATCTGCTCCCCGCACCGGGTCCCGTTCGTCTCCATGACCTGCGGCTGACTGGTGGAGGACGGAGACGTCGCTGCTGCAGCCTCTGCGGCGCCCTGCGCAATCTTCAGCAGCCGGGGCGCAAGAGCCTCCGCCATCATCTTGATGGTGGAGCCCCCGGGGTCTCCGGCTCTGTCCTCCACCATGAACGAAGACCTCATGTTTCCGCCGGGGAAGGTTCCGTTACTCGCTCCCAGAAGAACCATTGTGCTGCCGCCTGGTCCTTCTCATCCATAGAGCTGGAGACGCGTGCGGCGGCGACATGGACCCGCACACATGTGCCGGGGCTGATCGGGGAGTGAGTAATTCCTCTGCCCCCCCCCCCCCCCCCAGGACAAACCACGGTGACCCGCCGCCTTTTTAATTCTTCTATTTACAGGCTGACTCGTCATTACGCACGTGGCGCGCCGCAGGCATATTTCCAAAATACCTGACCTACAAAATCTTGTTTTATTTCCTGTTGTCTGAAGATTCACTGGAGAACATCGCACCTCTCAGCCGGATGCGCGCAGGAGCAGAAAGTTAAAAAATACGCAGGCGCATGGTTCACACGCAACAAGAAAATGTCTAACTATCCATGGATGAGACCATGCGTAATTACGCACGATAATTTATGTCCGATTATATATTCGATTGTATGCGTTTACGCACACACCCACACACATCAATCAATCCATCACAGCTTATTTGTCTCATATTCAGTTTGTCTCATCGATGTCAACAAGCAGCAACGTCCTCTGTCCTTCACTCAACAAGTTAAAACTACAGAGACACTTTCTGAGCAGTAACTGAAGCTCAGAGTCTCATGTGAGGATCCGTCTCCAGGACACGAGGACAATAGATGCTGATGAACTGAAGACATCAACACAACAACAGATTCACTACATTAGAAGAAACAGTTTGTAACTTCATGTTTAAA